AATTCTGACTCCAGGAATGTTTGATGGATATTTGTAAATTGTTTGCACAATAACCCTGATTCCCACCCAACCCCCACTATAGTTCGGTGGATGTGTGGTCGGGCTTTTCCAGCAAACATAAAAGCCCTGCTTCTCTGCAAAAATTAAAACTTAGCTAAGTTGGTCTCCATGTACTAAGAATTCAGTAGGATGTAAAGCCCCACATTACGATGCTGATAGTGTGTGAAGCACAAGCAGGCCAGTTGTGACTGAGGTGAGAAGGCCAAACTCAGCTGGGTGCTCCTAGCAATAAGGACTATGCCACCAGAATCACAAAACCCAGTCATTCATTCATTCAAAATATACTTATTGAGCTAGAAGTTATGCTTAGAGGCAAAGAAACAATGAACTAGGCGGGGTGCAGTAGCTCAAGCTTGTAATCCCAGCACTCTGGGAGGCTGAGGCCAGTGAATCCCTTGAGTCCAGGAGTTCGAGACCTGCCTGGGCAATGTGGTGAAATCCTGTCTCTACAAACAAATACAAAAATTACCCAGGTGTGATGGTGCACACCTATTATCTCAGCTACCTGGGAGGCTGAGGTAGGAGGATCGCTTGAGCTTGGGAGGTGGAGGTTGCAGTGAGCCATGATCATGCCCCCGCACTCCAGCCTAGGCAACAGAGTGAGACTCTGTCTAAATTTTTAAAAAGAGAAAGAAAAAAACCCCAATGAACTAGGCAGGTTAAGGCCCTTACCCTTGTAGAGCATGGAGCCTAGTGGAAGAATTAGATAAGTAAACAATCAGTTTTATTTAGTTATTTATTTTATTTTATTTTATTTTTTTTGAGATGGAGTCTCACTCTTGCCCAGGCTGGAGTGCAGTGGTATGCTGTTTGCTCCCCGCAAGCTCCGCCTCCTGAGTTCAAGCAATTCTCCTGCCTCAGCCTCCTCAATAGCTGGGACTACAGGCACCTGCCACCACATCCGGCTAATTTTTGTATTTTTAGTAGAGATGGAGTTTCGCCATGTTAGCCAGGCTGGTCTCGAACTCCTAACCTCAGGTGATCCACTCATCTCAGCCTCCCAAAGTACTGGGATTACAAGCATGAGCCACTGCACCTGGCCAGTTTTATTTTTTAAAATCACTTTAATAGAAAATACGTTCTCAATGTTCAAATTTTAAAGGTTACAGAAAAATATACCATGAAAAGTCTTGTCATGTCTGAGCCCCAAGTGCCTCAGTTCCCTCCTGACCCTTGGAAACCAGTATTTCTAGTTCCTAAAGCAATTTCTACAGTATGACCAATGTGATCTTGTGTAACTGGAAAAGCACAGGATGCCATGAGGACACACCGTGAGGACTGAGCCAGTATAAGAGTAGTTGATTAGGCCGGGCGCGGTGGCTCAAGCCTGTAATCCCAGCACTTTGGGAGGCCGAGGCGGGTGGATCACGAGGTCGAGAGATCGAGACCATCCTGGTCAACATGGTGAAACCCCGTCTCTACTAAAAATACAAAAAATTAGCTGGGCGTGGTGGTGTGTGCCTGTAATCCCAGCTACTCAGGAGGCTGAGGCAGGAGAATTGCCTGAACCCAGGAGGCGGAGGTTGCGGTGAGCCGAGATCGCGCCATTGCACTCCAGCCTGGGCAACAAGAGCGAAACTCCGTCTCAAAAAAAAAAAAAAAAAAAAAAAGAGTAGATGATTGAAAAAAATGAGCAAATGAGTTTCTCGAAGACCTCAATTCTGGAAAGGAAAGAAAGGAGGAAGAGAAGGGAAAGGAAAGAACAATCACTAGCCATAGACAGCCAGTGCGTTAAGCCCTAGCACAGCCAGCAGGTTGCCAGAACATGCTATGATAACAAGAGCAACTCTGTCCCCTGCCAGCCATCCATCCAGACATCACAAGTTAATCCAGGCAGCAGAAGCATGCTTGGGGGATGTGCCATGCTTAGCATCAGACTTATACGTCTAAAGCAAGTTTGTTCAACGGGCAGCCTGTGGCAGGACAGCTTCGAATGCATCCCAACAACTTAATAAACTTTCTCAAAACATTATGAGATTTTTTTTTGCAGTTTTTTTTTTTTCTTGAGACAGAGTCTCACTCTGTTGTCCAGGCTGAAGTACAGTGGCACAATCTCAACTCACTGCAACCTCCACCTCCCAGGTTCTCCCAATTCTGCCTCAGCCTCCCCAGTAGCTGAGGCTACGGGCATATGCCACCATGCCCAACTAATTTTTTTTTTTTTTTTTGTATTTTTAGTGGAAATGGGGTTTCACCATGTTAGGCAGGATGGTCTCGATCTCCTGACCTCGTGATCTTCCCACCTTGACTTTCCAAAGTGCTGGGATTACAAGCATGAGCCACCATGCCTGGCCTTTTTTTTTTTTTTTTTTTTTTTTTTTAAGCTCAGCAGCTATTGTTCAGTGTTAGTATATTTTATGTGTGGCCCAAGATAAATAATTCTTCTTCTATGTGGCCCAGGCAACCCAAAAGATTGAACACTCCTGGTCTAGAACGTTCTGCCCAAATCTGCAAATACTTGAATACATACCAGACTTCACCCCCTGATTTTTGGTTCTGAAAAGAAGAGGCACTGATGAAACTTGAGTCAGGGGCTGCAGAGATTGCAGAGGGATTGGGAGAACTTTCTTCTTCTCTCCAAGCTGCTATGACATTTTCTTTTTTCTTTTTTTAATTAATTAATTTTTTTTGAGACATCTGGTTTCCAAGACATTTTCAATAGTATCTGTCACTAGAAAGAGAGTAGGGGAAGGAATCACCAGCCTACAATGTATCAGGCAGATATTCTCTCTATTTTTGAGGTTGAGAGAGGCTGAGTGACTTGCTTCAAATCTCCCAGCAGGGAAGCTGGGATTTGAACCCACATCTGCCTGGCTCAAAGCCCTCCACATCCATTGCAGCCTCTTGCTTCTCACAATATCTGTGATGCTTGCAGAACGTATCTTCACCTTCAGAGCCCCTGGGGAGGCCCATGATTCCCCTACCTTACCCTCATCAAGTGTCCCCAAGTTTCTGGGAGAAGTCATTTTTACCCTTTAAGGTACCTTAGGCCTGTGAGATTTCCGACCTAAAACAATACATTAAAACCCCAAACTTGACCAGGCATGGTGGCTCACATCTGTAATCCCAGCACTTTGGGAGGCCGAATGGGTGGATCACTTGAGGTCAGGAGTTCGAGACCAGCCTGGCCAACATGGTGAAAACCAGTCTCTATTAAAAATACAAAAAAAAAAAAAAATAGCTGGGTGTGGTGACAGGTGCCTGTAATCCCAGATACTCAGGAGACTGAGGCAGGAGAATCACTTGAACCTGGGAGGCAGAGGTCACAGTGAGCCGAGATCACACCACTGCACTCCAGCCTGGGCGACAGAGCAAGACTCCGTCTCAAAAAGAAAAAAAAAATTTTGGTTTTCAAGGTGTAGATGAAGGGAATTCTCGCCCCTGGCCTGGGTGAGCTGGAGGGGAGAAGCAAAGACATCTAGGTCCCTATCACCGCTTGCCTAGACAACTTCACAGGAAAGCCCCTGGGAATCTGAGATGGAGCAGGTGAACCCTTTACATCTAGATGGTGAGTCCAAAGGAAATATTCAGAGGATTGCCTTCCTCCCCTTCCTACTGCTGCCCAAAGATTACCCTCAGGTTGAAAAAGCCCTTTCCTCCTGGAACTGATGTGGGACATGGGCTGTTTGGGAGCAGAATGGTGAAACCAATTAACACTGAAGACAAAGGGACAGGCAGCCAAGATCATTTGAGGAGGAAAAATTGCTTCATTTCTAGGCTCCTTCCCCTTTTGAAGCAGATAACTTGCATTCATCATATGCTCAGTGTTTATATGCAGAATTGTAGTTTAGCCAGGGAGGTCTCTCTCCTCTCCTGGAATTTTTTGGGCCATTTATGCATTACTCCTGAGGGAGGGCCAGTGCAGGGTAGTGACTTTGGAGTTTGTTAGAACTGGGTTTGAGTCTTGGCTCTGCCATTATTAATACTGTGACCTTACGCAAGTCACTTGATTGTTCTCCGTCCCAGTTTTTTTATCTGGAAAACGGACGTGAAAACAGTACTGTTGTGGTGGTTGTGGAAAAGTCTTTCTTTCTTTTGTTGTGGAAAAGTATTTAATTCAAACTTTTCAAGTAAAAATATTTAGCACATGTCTAATATATAGGAATTATTCAACAAAAGACTTAATTCTTTTTAAAAACCCTAAAGTTGGTGGGGGCACAGTGGCTCATGCCTGTAATCCCAGCACTTTGGGAGGCTGAGGTGGGCGGATCACCTGAGGTAAGGAGTTTGAGGCCAGCCTGGCCAATATGGTGAAACCTGTCTCTATTAAAAAATAAAAAAAATAAAAAATGTTTAAATAAAAACCTTAAAGTTATAGCTCCAAAATTTTAAAAGAAAATTGCAAAATTAAAATGAATATTTAATAAAACAGCTACAGAGAGACCCATGTCTGCTAGTCAACTATAATTGAAGTCAACTCTTACATAGTTATATATAAATACAACACAATAAAGATTTTCAAGAATACAATGAACCATTTTTTTCTCAATAAAGTTCAGAATTATAATAATTCCTTCATACTTTTTTAACAACAAGAAATGCAGATCCTGTATGGAAATGAGGTGCATTTTGATGCGTTTGATATGACATGGGTTCTCCCCGGGGCTTAGGAAGATCCTAAGGTGGTGTGAGGAACCTGGAGAAGGACAAGAGACAAATTCTCATGGCAGAGACCTCTGCCCTCACCCCACTGCCGGCTCTGAGATTAAGACTATAGCAGCCAAGGCCTGCAGCAGCCAGCCATGCCCATAATGGTGGGACCTCTCTGGATTTCTGTATCCCTGGTTTCAACAAAGGCCTGAGGGATGCCTGCCCAGCAAGCTGAGCCACCAAAGCTCTGGGGATCAGGGAGAACAAAGACACAGGGAAAGCAGAGTGCTGACAGGGCCAGAGGCCAGAGGCTGCAGGGCTATAAAGAGGGAGGTCACAGAGCAAGTGGCACCAGATGGAGACCCAGACTGTGCAGCAGGAGCTGGGTGAGTAAGGCCCTCAGGGTGCCCTTGCCCTTCTTCTCCTTGCCCTGCAGAGACATGCCCAGGAGAGGGCTCAGTTCTCCTGCCTACTGTGTAGAGCCTCCTAGAGTAGCTGGAGAAGAGTGTGGAACGCTGGGGAAAGGCAACCTTTTCTTGTCATCCCAAGAGGAGTCACTTATATAGCAATAATCACTGCCCTAGCAGCCAAGGCTGGGGGTGGGCATGGACCCCCAAGAAATGAGCACGGAGAAGGTATGGGGGCAGAACTTGGAAAATGTTGCTTATTCAGACATTCAGAATGGAAAGATATATTACAGAGTTTACGCACATCATTCCTGGGCCCGATACCAGCCAGATGAAGGGCCATGAATATCTTTCCCAAGTCAAGAAACCTGATACACAGATACACACCAGCCTGTCTTCCCTCTTCCCTTCCTTCCCGCTGTTTTCCTTCCTCTTTCTTGCTCCTGTCCTTGCTTTTTTTTTTACTCATCCTACCATCTTTACTGTCTACCTAACCTCTGTGAGCCTCAGTATCCTCACGTGTAAAATGGGGATAATGATCATTCTTAATTCATAGGCTCTGTGTGAAGATTAAACGGTGAATGCATGTAAAGCATTTAAAACAGGGCTGGATGTGTAGATAGCCATTGTTGAGTGTTAACTATTGTTAAGTCTTTTCTGTTTTATTTTTCTTCCTAGACAGAGTCTTCCTCTGTCTCCCAGGCTGGAGTGCAATGGTGTAATCTCAGGTCACTGAAACCTCTGCTTCCCGGTTCCAGTGATTCTCCTGCCTCACCCTCCCGAGTAGCCTGGGATTACAGGCGCCTGCCACCATGCCCAGCTAATTTTTGTATTTTTTAGTAGAGACGGAGTTTCGCCATATTGGCGAGGATGGTCTGAAACCCCTAACCTCAGCTGGTCCATCCATCTCAGCCTCCCGAAGGGCTGGGATTACAGGTGTGAGATACCACGCCTGGCCTTTAACTCTTTTCTTCTTCACTTTCCTTCAATAAGTCTTTTCCAATGTCTCCCGATCCCCCATCCCAACATGTGCTTAGCACGGGGCTATACCAATCCCCCAGAAGACCAAGGCTTTGCCACTGAGGTGCTCACCAGGACAGTCAACCAGAACACAGATCGGTACTGTGGAGAGTGCTAGAAATCAAGAAGGAAAGCAAATGGCTGTGGGCTGGAGAAGGCAGGAAAGTCTCTGAGGAGGCAAGGTCAAGGCTGGGTAGGATCTAGGAGACAGAAAAGCAGTAAGTAGCCAGATAAAGATGAGACCATGAAGGGTTACGAGGGAGTTTGGGGCTTGGGAATCCTGGCATGGCTGGCTGTTTGTCCAGTCACTTAAGGGGTCTGGCTTAGGTGGTTGCCAAAGAGTTTCTATTGGGGACAGAGGCAATACCGTCACCTGGAAGCAAATGAGAGGACAGGGTCACAATGCTTGTCAGTGCTTTACCTGCATGATTGTTTCTGATCCTTACAATAACTCTGCATGTTGAAGTTTTACCAATGGACAAACTGAGGCTCAGGCTGGGCGCGGTGGCTCACATCTATAATCCCAACACTTTGGGAGGCTGATGTGGGTGGATCATTTGAGGTCGGGAGTTCAAGACCAGCCTGGCCAACATAATGAAATCCCATCTCTACTAAAAATACAAAAACTAGCTGGGAATGGTAATGCATGCCTATAGTCCCAGCTACTTGGGGGGGCTGAGGCAGGAGGATCACTTGACCCTGGGAGGTAGAGGTTGCAGTGAGGTGAGACTTGCACTATTGCACTCCAGCCTGGGACACAGAGCAAGACCCTGTCTCAAAACAGCAACAACAGGCCAGGCGTGGTGGCTCATGCCTGTAATCCTTTGGGAGGCCAAGGCAGGTGGATTGCCTGAGCTCAGGAGTTCAAAACCAGCCTGGGCAACATGGTGAAACCCTCTCTTTACAAAAAATACCAAAAAAAAAAAAAAAATTAGCCAGGTGTGACGGCATGTGCCTGCAGTCCCAACTACTTGAGAGGCTGAGGCAGGAGAATTGCTTGAAACCGGGAGGCGGAGGTTGCAGTGAGCTGAGATCGTGCCACTGCACTCCAGCCTGGGCGACAGAGCGAGACTGTCTCCAAAAGCAGCAGCAACAACAACAACAACAACAACAAACACGTGAGGCTCAGCTAGTGAGTGACAGAGCCAGAATTCCAACCAAAGTCTGTCTTGCAGACTTCAAGTCTCCTTTACCTTTCGAGGTATTTTCTCACCTCATCTTCCTCCCCAGAAGCCATATATGTCAGTTGGGTGTGCTCTGTCTTCCAGAAACCCTTCCAACCACCAAGATGGCTCAGACCAACCCTACGCCGGGGTCCCTTGGGCCATGGAAGGTAAGCCTACCCCCATCACATCCAACAGGACAGGGGTGAGATGCTGCACAGAGCAGGCCCCAGGCCTGTGCTCATCCATGAGGCAGTGACCAACCAGTAAAATCCCAGTCTGTAGGGGAAGGGTCCACACAAGCTCCAGGTGCTGTCAAAGGAAGGATCTCTAGGATGTCCCGTTGGACAAAGGAAGAATGACTCTGGATGCCAATGACGGGTGGGAGATGATGTCTAGCTTCCTAACTCCTTTCTCCTCCCCACCGCTACAGTCATCTTAAAATACAGCAGCCCAGCAAGGATTATGTCTATGGAGAAAATGAGGGCCCATAAAGAGATTTACTACTAGATCCTAAATATATCACTAGACTCAGCCTCCCAGCCTGAGGTTGGCTTTAACCATTGGCCAAAGTGGCTGATCCTCAGACCTCTCACTGGCCTCTCCCCAACACTCCCCACTTCCCTTTTGGGTCAACTCTGAGGCCAGCTCATGGCTTTGGGAGTGGTCCTCTGGCCAGGTCCATGAGCCAGGTTTTAGTTCAAAGTACAAAAAGGGTTGACCACAACTCTCCTTTAAACTCTAGGTTTCTATAGAGGGTGTGTCTGGAGAAGCTAAGAATCTATAGGGGCCGGGCGCGGTGGCTCAAGCCTGTAATTCCAGCACTTTGGGAGGCCGAGGCGGGTGGATCACGAGGTCAAGAGATCGAGACCATCCTGGTCAACATGGTGAAACCCCGTCTCTACTAAAAATACAAAAAATTAGCTGGGCATGGTGGTGCGTGCCTGTAATCCCAGCTACTCAGGAGGCTGAGGCAGGAGAATTGCCTGAACCCAGGAGGCGGAGGTTGCGGTGAGCCGAGATCGTGCCATTGCACTCCAGCCTGGGTAACAAGAGCAAAACTCCATCTCAAAAAAAAAAAAAAGAATCTATAGGAAGCTCCTGGGACTCCTAGAATCCTGGCCTCTGGGCCATGCTTATGATGGAACTGTGGTGGAATGGGAATCCGTAAGTCCTCGGCCTGTCCATTGGTCTAGCTATTATCCTTGGCAGACCATCCTATCATAAACCATTCCCTCCTCCACCTCATCCCTAGTCTGGGCATATGTACACCAACTAGTGGCATTAATTCAAACTCCTTCCTGCCCTGTCTACTCTGGAAGAGACCTCATCAGGCATCCCAGGCTTCAGCTGGTGACAGAAAACACAGAGTCAGACACAAGTTAAGCTGCTGAGCTGGGCCTATTTTTCCTGACGTACCAGATTCTAGCTCTCTTGAGCCATTCAATCCCATTTCAGATAACCATCTATGATCAGGAGAACTTTCAGGGCAAGAGGATGGAGTTCACCAGCTCCTGCCCAAACGTCTCTGAGCACAGTTTTGATAATGTCCGGTCCCTCAAGGTGGAATGTGGCGCGTGAGTATGGACCTCTGCAGAACTGCAGCCCCTTATTTCAGGTCCCTTCAGACATGGAACCACAGGGTGGGGAGAGGGGTAGAGAGATGTTCCTCTAGGCTCTAATCATTTCTCAGAGAGAGGCCTCGAAAGAAAGCACTACATGCATAATTCAGTAAGCCAAAGCTAGAAGGAACATGAGGTTCTCAGTGGCTTGGTACTAAATTTTGGGGAGTGGAAAAAGAAATACATACAATGAGGTGGGGCAATGGCAGTAATCAGATTTTTGCTTCTGGAGCTCACAGGCTGCTACCTAGGGTGCCCTCAGAACAGCCTCAAGACCCTTGAGTTTTTTCTTGCCTGCAGAAAATCAGTAGAGAAGAATTTGTCAAGTGGCTGCCTCTTTATGGCTAACTCTCCTCCTGCATGTCCCAGAGCAGACACTGTTAGCTAATTTCTCTATGAAAAAGGAAACCTCAACCCCATGACTCCAGAGACATGTTAGTTCCTGATTCATCTTTCAGGCAGTTTCTTGTTGATGGTTAATCTTGGTGAGGGAGACCCTCTCATTTCTGTCCTCTGACTCTTGGCAGGGTAGGCCTTTATCATTAGCCTGAAAACACCTAAGGAAAAGACTCATAGGCAGAACTGGCCTTACATGTGAATAGGCTTCCACAAGTTGCTTGCCACCAAAATCAAGCTCCAGTCCTTTAAAACAAGTAACACTTTAAGGTGTCATCACTGAGACCCAATTGTTAAAAACTAAGCTGAGTGTTTCAATAAATTAAGCATAGGTAATGGGCCACTAGGAGAAAGAACTCGCAAGTCATAGGAAAAAAGAGACTAGTAACCCATCAGTTGTCGGCTCATCCCTCTGCTTTCTTAGGAAGAAGCCAACGTGTTTGGCTTGAGCCAAAGCAATAGTCCAGGGGTGTCCAATCTTTTGGCTTCCTTGGGCCACACTGGAATAATTATCTTGGGCCACATATAAAATACACTAATGATAGCTGAGGAGCTAACATCAACAAAAAGCTCATAATATTTTGAGAAAGTTTATAAATTTGTGTTGGGCTGCATTCAAAGCCGTCTTGGGCTGCATGCAGCCCTTGGCCCACAGGTTGGACAAGCTTTCAATAGTCAGTCACTAGATAGGTGACTTGGAGAAAAAGAAAAAAAAAATTTTATTTTTGAGACAAGATGTCACTCTGTTGCCCAGGCTGCAGTGCAGTGGCGTGATCATGGCTCACTGCAGCCGCCACCTCCAAGGCTCGAGCGACCCTCCCCGCTTAGTCCTCTGAATAGCTGGGTCTGCAGGAGTGCACCACTATACCTGGCTAACTTTTGAGTTCTGCAGATAGGCTTTCGCCATGTTTCCCAGGCTGGTCTTGAACTCATGGGCTCAAGAGATCCACTTGCCTTGGCCTCCTGAAGTGTTGGGACTACAGGCATGAGCCACCACACCCAGCCAGGAAACAGAATTTTAGATTGACTTTGCTAATACACTCCACTCAGACCAGTGAAGTAAACAGATCTTTTCAGTGATAATCCAAAAACAAATTATAACATTCACAAACCTGCTTAGTATAGCTGTCAACGCATTCCCCACCTCTAGTGATAAATTACTTTTGCACAGCTCTACTGGGATTGGCTTGATATTTTACCCCACTTATCTAAAACGAAAGATGACTTCTCCCCAAGGCCATATAGGCTTTGAACACCATGAACAAACAACACTACATGTCTTTGGCAGCTGGATTGGTTATGAGCATACCAGCTTCTGTGGGCAACAGTTTATCCTGGAGAGAGGAGAATACCCTCGCTGGGATGCCTGGAGTGGGAGTAATGCCTACCACATTGAGCGTCTCATGTCCTTCCGCCCCGTCTGTTCAGCTGTGAGTCTCTGTAATTTCCACTTCTGTGCATATGAGGGATGGGACAAGAGGGTGTGGACAGACTGACATTCACGTTATTTCTCATCAGTTATGCTGATTGTGGCAGGAAAAGGGTAAAAAAAAAAAAAAAAAAAAGAAAGAAAGAAAAAAAGAAAACATCGCTTTCTTTTCTAAGCCTGCTATTTGATTTTTCTGCACCAGGTGGTATTTCCCTTAAGCTAAAAGTAAGGGTCTTACAGGTGGCAATAAGTTGATACTCAAGAGCCTAGTAAACTTGTGAAACACGAGTAAATGAGTGAAAGTGCTTACCCTGTAGTAAAAAGTAAATCCTTACTGAGCAGTGTTTGAGGGGGGAAAAAAAAGAAAAAGTAAATCCTTGGCCAGTTAAATTTCAATCTGTGTAACATTTTACTGCAGAAACAGGGAAATGCTTAAGTAACCTTTCAGTAAGTGGGAATGACTGAAAAACAGGCAAGTCTTCCAGTATCTATCTACACACTGATAATAATCTTCTTGTTCCTAACACTTAAGTATTTTTCAATAATGCATCAGGCTGGGATGTTTCTGGTCTTTGGAAGAGTTCAAGCAGAAAGGAGAATGACCTTGAGGCGTATGTTGAAAATGATCCCTGTATTAGGAGTGAGGCTGGGCTAGAACTTTTCCAAATATTCAGTCTATATGTGAATTTCTCATGATTTTGGTTAATAATCTCACCTTGGTCCAAGTCTTGCCGAAATTCAACTAGTGGAGAAGTTAACCTAACTAGCTCTAAACCAAAAAAATACTTCCTTATCTGGAGGTGATTTCAATTTCACTTTTAAAAACATTTCATTGCCGGGCGCGGTGGCTCAAGCCTGTAATCCCAGCACTTTGGGAGGCCGAGGCGGGTGGATCACGAGGTCGAGAGATCGAGACCATCCTGGTCAACATGGTGAAACCCCGTCTCTACTAAAAATACAAAAAACTAGCTGGGCGTGGTGGCGCGTGCCTGTAATCCCAGCTACTTAGGAGGCTGAGGCAGGAGAATTGCCTGAGCCCAGGAGGCGGAGGTTGCGGTGAGCCGAGACCGCACCATTGCACTCCAGCCTGGGTAACAAGAGCAAAACTCCATCTCAAAAAAAAAAAAAAAAACATTTCATTTGCCCACCCTAAGGTATAACTGACATACAGTAAAATTCACAGATCCTAAGTGCATATTCTCATGAGTTTTGAAAAATATATAGACCCATGTAACCAACACCCTAACCATATAAGTAACATTCCATCATAGTTCCCCGGTGTCCCTTTCCACTCAATTGCTCTCCTACCACGAACAGTTTTGTCAGTTTCTGAAGTTTATACAAGTTAGTCTCTGCCTTTTTAATGCTTGTGTGGTATTCATGTCCCCTACTGGACACACAGGTTATTTTCAACACACATACACACACAAGCACACACATGCGTATTTGGGCTTACTTTTTGTATTAATTTGTGAGATCTTTCTTCACATTAGTGAATATTAGTCCCTTGGTTGGCTGCATCTTGCTAGTACTTTTTCCCATTGTCAAATTCTCTTCATGTTCCAAAATAGTATATCAGTTATTTGTACATTCTAAATGCTATGGTATTTAAATTGGAACAAAATTATGGTAACTTCTTTGTCATAAATCTGTTGCCTTAATCTTTTTTAAATCAATGATCATGTGCATCCTTGTGTAACCCAAAAAATAGTGTTCCAATTTTAAAAAACATAGAATGACAGCCATAGCACTAGTATTAAACATTTTAAAACAAATTCTGAATTACAGAATCATAAAGAGTCTAAGATGACCATCTTTGAGAAGGAAAACTTTATTGGACGCCAGTGGGAGATCTCTGACGACTACCCCTCCTTGCAAGCCATGGGCTGGTTGAACAATGAAGTTGGCTCCATGAAGATACAAAGTGGGGCGTAAGTACAAAAACAGGGTTGGAACAGATTTCAAAGTAATTCCCTGGGGTTGCATCAATGGTCGTTTTTTATCAGATTTCATATGTATCAGTATATCACTTTCTAGTTATAGAGAATTTTAAATCTCAAGTTCTTTACACCAACTACCTCTTAAGGTTGCAGATTTTTTCCCCCAGACATGCCTCTAAGGAAGAATTTATGTTTACTACTTACACCTCTTTTCAAGATTAAGACTAATTAACTAGCTGTAGCCATATTATGCTTACAAATAGTGCCAGACACATTTAGGATGGCTTTTTCTAAGCCTAAAAGCATCCTATACCATTGTGTTGAGTAAAGAGGCTCAGGTTTTGGAGTGTTAACCAGATTCCTAGTTTTAATAATGCAATGTACTTTGAATTTCCTAGCTGGGTTTGCTACCAATACCCTGGATATCGTGGGTATCAGTATATCTTGGAATGTGACCATCACGGAGGAGACTATAAACACTGGAGAGAGTGGGGCTCTCATGCCCAGACTTCCCAGATCCAATCGATTCGCCGAATCCAACAGTAGTGGATTAAAAGCTCCAAGTACGAGAATTCCTTAAGGCATGAGACCTTGCTAAGCACTCTAGAATGAGTTTTATGTTCTGCTCACAGACATTGCTTTCAAATGTTAGCCGCTGAAATCCACAATAAATGTCATTAAAAAAAACAACAACTACTACTTTGTAGACTGAATTAACTACCATGCTTCACGTAAATCACACCTATGTGGATGAGAATTTTTGTTGTTGTTGAGACAGGGTCTCACTGTCACCCAGGCTGGAGTGCAGTGGTGTGATCTGGCTTACTGCTGCATCGATCTCCCAGGTTCCAGGTTCCAGGTTCCTCCTGCTTCAGCCTCCTGAGTAGTTGGGATTACAGGCACCTGCCACCATGCCGGGATAATTTTTTTATTTTTTGTAGAGATTGGGGGCGGCGGGGCGGTGTCTCACTATGTTGCCCAGGCTGGTCTCGAACTCAGGTTCAAGTGATCCACCCACTGCAGCTTCCCAAAGTGCTGGAAATACAGGTGTTGAGCCACTGTGCCCACCTGGATGAGAATTTTTAGTCAAGCTTCCAATAAAACTCCATATTCTCTTTTGTGTCCTTTCAAGTCACTTACCAGACAAGGACAATTGTTCCTTATCTCAAAGAATAAACCACATGACCTAAATGTTATCCATCTCTATAGTGACTGACACACTTTCAGTAATTGTTTTTATGTCCTTTGTCCTCCCATCTCCTGCTCTAATGTTGAAGTTGGCACTGATTTTCCTTTCACTTTGTGACAAATCAGTACTAAAGAAACAGAAGTTTCTCCAGTGTGTACTGCCACATATTTCAACATTAAGTTATGAATAAATTCAAATCCAGAATCTTGGTATCTTAACATTCTAGTTGCTTAACTGCTTAGCTCAATTTTGATTTATTTCGTTTGCAAGAGCATAAGGCTCAATGTCCTACAAAAATGCAGGACGGCTTTGGATTTTTCAATAAGCATGCCAATTCTAAGCATTGTAAAAATCTCAATGATTAAAAATTTTTTTTTTTATAAATCATAGGACCATAGTACACTTAAGACTTAAATTCTTCATACATCTGACACTTTGGGAAAAAAATCATTATCAATGTCACAAACTTAGTTTCAGTATTTTTTTTTTAACGTTTTATCAGCTGCATTTAAGATTCATCACTAAGGACTTTTTTAAAAATTAAAGCACACAAAAGATAACAAACACCTCAGAAACTTTAAAATTTTTTATTCAACAATGTACACTTATTGTCTCTCAATTTGATCTACAAATTTCTCAAGTTTTTTTTTTTCTGATAAAATAAGTAAATCTGGGTATGGTTGTAGAGTGTTTGTAATTTATATTTTTAAAACACTGAACATGAAGTAAGACATCAATAAAGGAAGATCATCATGTAACTGACACTTCCTCAGAATCCATGACATCAGAAACAGCTATAGCAAATACCTAAGCATTTAGCAAAAGGGCAAATTTCTGGTCACTGTTCTTATATCTAGAAAAGACCTATCTTTTTGACTGGGCAAAGCAAACATTGAAACTTTTTTTTGAGAGGGGGAAGGGAAACATCCTTTAACATAACCGTACTCAGTCACTTACTATCCATTCCCCTAGATTAAGAGGTAACTCAGCTCCTAAGTGCCTCTGCACAAGACAGAGAAATTACTTTGCTCTTCCAATACATTCTAAGACTGAACACAAGTGAACTACTGACAGATGCTAAGAGGAACCATAGCCATCCAAGATCATGCTTGCTACACACTTGCATTTCTGCCTTTTAAGGCCATGCAATTATGGGTCACCTTTTGAGTCTTAACTGAATGACTTAGTTTTTAACTTCCACTATCAATGAAGATACATATAGAAGGGTTTTGCTGTGTCCTCAAAGTTAACAACATACTTGAAGAAGTAACGCTCTTCTGTATATTGAAAAAGCTATAAAATGGAAATATTTATTTTATATGTAGGAGCACGGGGGAAATGCCATCAGTAATATCTTCTACTTAAACATATTAGCCTCTCCTACAAAGGTCCTGAAGCAATGATGAGGAAAAAAAAGACTTTATAAGTACACACACACACACACACACACACACACACAGAGTAAAGCTATTTAGTACATGCAGACTGCAGCACTTTAACCAATTTCTAAACTTGTTCTAATCAGATTAAGCAATTTTTGAAAAGATAGACGTTATCTTTAAAACTACCTGTGCTTTGATCTTACAAACAACAGCATAATTTTAATCTCAAACCAGTAATTTTATGCTAAAGCAATAAAGGTAAAAAAAGGCTATCCTGCCTTTAAACCAGCTTTAAGACATAAAATTGTCACCAAGTTCCATGTGACAAAGGGTCTTTCATTTCAGTTTGAATTACTTTCCATTTTTATTTGATCCAATAAACCAAAATATTACTAAGGAAGAGCATCCAATGATTTGTAAAGCTGATAAAACTGCCCTGTTTCAAGAAAAGCCCTTTAATAGATACAAGTCAAGCTCTCATTTAAACTGAACTTTATTAAAATAGGTGCCAGTTTTCCTCTCTCCTAGTTCCACTGATGAGCTAGCCCAGAACTATATAACTTTAAGCCAAGTTTCCAAAGATGGTAAAGCTAAGAACAGCAAAGTAATAAGGACAAATAGGTCACTTTTGGTAATGACACACAAATTAAACTTTCAAAACATGTGCATAGCTTTATTCATCTACTTAGATCTAACCTTTTCACGGAGCTTAGGCAAAATTCGAGTGTGCAAAATGCATTTCTAAAACGTAATGCAAGCAAAGCTTTCACATTTACACTGGCAGGAAATACAGAGAGAAACTAACAAGTCACAGGGAGAATTCAGATTTTTTTTTTTAATGACAAGAATTGCACAGTTTATTATTTTGAGACAATTGTTGCAGACATAAATATTTAAAATTTTCTAAGCAAGGTGCTTGTAACAACAAAATTTTTTTAAGTTGGAAAGAGCTGATAACTTGGATCATAGCTCACACAGAATTCCAAATTAAAGTGGACTTCATTATCTCCCTACATTTTGCAAACAATGCTTTGTATAACACTTCTTTAAAACACTAAAGGAAACAGCAAGCTGAAACTTTTTTCAAAGCACACAAAAAATGGTGTCATCACATTACTTGAAGAAGGTGCTGAGGGGAGAAGAAAAGGGAGTGAAGAATCCTTTTACTATTTCCCACTACAGAACAGCCACTAACAGACTAAGAACAAAAAAGGTACAATAAAAAAAGTAAAGTAAATCACTTCCCCAGCTTATAAAATAGTTCCAGTTTGACAAGATCTGTAACCTTAAACAGAGCACCAGTTGGGCAATAGAATGAGCATTTCATAATGCATAAAAATTAGTGAGGTGGTAAGAACCATCAACTATCTCAGGCATTACTACATGGCCTTCCCATTTTTTTTTTTTTTTTTTAATATCCATGCAAGGCACATTGATATAAAAATAGACCTCTGGCCAACAAATATATTAAATAAGCAAATTAAAATTTTGGCTTTGCAATAATATTGGCAACATCAAAATATAACCAGATAGCTTTGGCCCACACATCCTTCTCATATTCCTCCACCTCATTTGGTGTTTCCCACCCATTATTTTGAGTTCAATCACCTTCAAGTTTGGGTATGTGCTTGAGAAATGACTTTTCTTTTTGTCAAGTAGCATTCTTACTAAAGTTTTCCTTTGCTAAGTAAAAATATACAAGAGAAACAGAATAGTTGGGAGTTTTGATTGATTTGATTTAAACTAAATCTGATTGGTTCAGGGCAGCATTATTTCTCCTCTATATACAAACATAAAAATAAGTCCCCAGCTTACATAGACAAATGTTTTCTAAAAGATCAGCAATAAATCAATGTGACACTAAGTCCTTTAAGCCATTCTTCTCAATTCCTCTTTCTGAGGCAGAGAGAGGGAATAATAGAAACAAAGCTAAGATTTAAACTATTTTCAGTAGTAGAAGACATTTAAGGCCAAAAAGTGTACTATTAACAGAATTCTTATGTTTCTAAGTTATTGTCCTTCATAGGCCAATACCAGCTAAGAACTAGTTACTTGTACTGATTCCCTCCCAAAGATAATTTTATAATTAACTCACTCTTGTTAGTGGCTGTGCTACAGGAAAGGTATCAAAGCAACCTATGGTATATGTATGATATATAGTAATGTAAAAAGTGCATCACATTCTTGATTTTCAGTTTCTCATAGCAGCAGCAGGATTAATCTAAGACAGAAAAGTTGTATTTTCATTCTTAAAATGCAACAGTATCTAATGAAATGTATTCAAGATCATGAAAGGATCCTCCTCTATGAAGGATAAATGAACACAGACTAATAATAGACAAAACGGGTAAACTAAAGGCATTCATTCATATTTACATATTAAAACCACTTTTGTTAACACCATATCTTTACATCTAGCAAAAGAAATAAGCATTTTAAGAATAAAACAGACATTACTAAAGCAGTATCAATTTTCAGAGCCTTTGATTAGCACCTGAGGAAAAAAGGGTATATGGAAAGCTATATAATTTGTCTCAAGTTAGCTTGTCGGTCTTAAGAGTACAACTTTGATATGCACTGAAAGTAAAACTAAATTGGAAAATGTTGGTAGCTGTTTTAATAAGGCTGTAGAAAAGGGATAGTGGCCAGGCGCGGTGGCTCACACCTGTAATGCCAGCACTTTGGGAGGCCGAGGCGGGCAGACTGCCTGAGGTCATGAGTTTGAGACCAGTCTGGCCAACATGGTAAAACCTCGTTCTCTACTTAGAATACAAAAAAATTATCTGGGTGTGCACCTGTAATCCCAGCTACTCAGGAGGCTGAGGCAGGAAGAACTGCTTGAACCAGGGAGGTGGAGGTTGCAGTGAGCCAAGATGGCACCACTGCACTCCAGCCTGGGTGACACAGCAAGACTCCATCTCAAAAAAAAAAAAAAAAAAAAAAGGGGATACTGCAGTATTATAAAATGAATATAGCTGTTCCATAGTTTCTAGCCCATAACTGATTTGCCATTCCCAGTAATGCAAAAGCAATATACCAATCATGCTGCACTGGGTGTTTTTACTATGCAGACAACTGAAAATTCTATTTGCACTATTGCTGGCATCC